GAGACACAGGTCTAATGTTAACACTCAGCGGCTTGTGGTTTCGGTAGAGGACTGCTTCCTGTTTCCTGTGGCATGGTTAATTCAGCGAGTGGCTTCCATTGCTCAGACTTACTTTTCTGGCTTGGCGCTGTAGCCCCTGACTGAGGGTTTTAGGACTGCAAGCAGAACATTTACGGGCAATCAACTTTAATTCAAGACACAAAGGTCCATAGAGACAACACAGTACATATATATATATAATCAATCAATCAACTTCCAAATTAGGCCTCAAATCCACCAGCAACGCAGATATTCACATTTCCCCCTGTTTTGACTGTATACCTGACAAATGCCTTAGTAATAAATGGACTTAACATACAAACATTTCAATGTGCAGTTTTATTTTAAGTTCATATGGCTCCAGACTAGTTCTACAGAAAGTATTTGGTGGGACTGACAATAAAGCACCGAGCTTAATTTGGTGCGCATAAAATTAATTATTATCATTCAAAATGTCTTTATTAATTCAAAAACAAAATGTGTAAAACAAATAAATATTAGGGAGTGAAAATAGCCAATAAGCGTCCTCTGCAGCCACCTACTATTTACAATGGTGATTTAATTTTTATTTTTTATTTTTAAAGTAGTGTGAGTATTCCTACATCTTATAAATGGGGACAAAGGATGGATCTTTGAAGGATGAACTTTTTTTTTTTTGGTCATCACATTAAAAATAACATTTAAATATGATAAGTGCTGGAGAAAGATGTGTAGTATTCGTAAGCGTTTGAGTATTTCTGTCACAGTACAACAGTTACGGTTCGTGTTACTACATTAAATCCATGGTGAATGTCGCTAATTTGTGGACTAAAGCTTGATGACGGAGATGTGACGTGAGCGACCTGTAAGTCTTCTAGTAGCTGTGCCAAGACAAATCTGAATTGAAATCTGAAACAAATCTGATGTAAAACATGAATATGTTAAAACGGTGACATATAAAAATCATCCGAAAAACCCTTGAAACCACTTAGCAACCACCTAGAACACCCTGGCAATCACTTAAGCCCAACAAGCTACTTAGTAACCACCCAGAACTCTATAAACCACTTAGCCACCACTAGAACACCTTAGCAACCACTTAGCAATACCCTAGCCACCACTAGAACACCTTAGCAACCACTTAGCAATACCCTAGCAACCACCCCAGAACTCTCTATAAACCACTTAGCCACCACCAGAACACCTTAGCAACCACTTAGCAATACCCTAGCAACCACCCCAGAACTCTCTATAAACCACTTAGCCACCACTAAAACACCTTAGCAACCACTTGGCAAAACCCTAGCAACCACCCAGAACTCTCTATAAACCACCATTAGAGCACCTTAGCTACCACGTAACAACCACTCAGAATGCCTTAGAAACTACATAGAAACCACCCAGAACACCTTAGCAACCACTTAGCAGTACCCAAGATTGAAAACCCCAAAAGCATTCTAGCCTCCTTGACTTTATGCCTCCATGTCCCCACGCTTGCCTCATAGACATATAAGATTGCCCGTGAGCTTCTCCTCCTGTCTATACGGTAATATCTCTCTTGTGCGACACAGAGTCGCGTGTTATGACGCGATCGTTAGCCTATTTTTACAAAAACGGCTTGTAATAGAGCATTTTATACATTGTCGTCTTTCTTTAGAAATAAAAAATGGACAAATGGAGTCTTTAAACGCCTCAGATGGAAAGTTATTCGCTGTCAAAGTGACGCCAAAATGAATGGGAGTCAATGAAATGCTAACCGCGAAGGTGAAGGCTTGCTAGCCAATGGCGGCCCCCAAGCGAAGCTTCAGTTTCCGGCTGGTGGATTGCCCCCTTGGTAGTAATCGTGTGATCGAGATCGACCGGCGAGTAGCTCGCGGCGCTGTCTATTATGGGTACGAACTAATAAACGGTCCGTGAAGCACAAACGAGTAGCGCAGTTTCGTTCGTTGGTCGTGCCAGCACAACCTAGTTCAAAATTTGGTCGCACCGGCAGGAAAAATTGCCTCATTTTAGTTGTATTTGTAATTATTACTTTTGTGCAATTGAGTCCCATCCATCCATCCACTCTCTCTGTCTCTCACGAACACACACTTTGTTTCCCATCTGCTGGCTTCTAGACTAAATTAATCTGTTTGAATCTGGATTACAGTTCTAGGGTCAGTCTAGTAACCGATATCGTCCATCTGGCTCTGCGAGGTCAAAGGTCGCCCGTATTTAAATTCCTCAGATGACTCGTCAGGTGATAAACGAGGCCTGTTGATTTAATAATTAACCACCCAAACACGAAACATTTACATTTCTCCTTTCAGCAGCGTCAGCTGTTTCTCCGTCCAGAGTCGACTGCTTGAAATAACTCTTCGAGTCGTTCGGCCAACGTAGAAGGAAACCAGGGTGAAATCCTGACGCAGAAAGCCGTTCCTGGCACTGACTGCGGTTAATCCAATAGCTTGTGTTTGGGATAAGACACACACACACACCCGCAGTGCAACAGTTATTAATCCATGACCGGGGAAAGGAGTGGTGATTCAGGCTAATCAATAAAGCCATGAATGAATGAAGGAGTGTTTACAAAGTTTCTCTCTCTCACTAATTAAAGAGGTTTTTGAGCGCCGCAGACTAATGGCTGTCAGAGACGGGCGGAGAAACACTCGCTTTAAGACTGTCGAGGTTAACACAGCTGAGTCACTCATGGGTGATATGAACTTTTGGGAAGAGAGGCAGAACCTGAGGAAAAACTGATGACTAAGTTTGTGTGTGAGAGAGAGACAGTCGGAGTGGATGGCCAAAAGTAAAAAATTGGCCCATATTTAAGCCGATAAATAACATATTTCCTTCAGCTGAGACACTTGCACACTGTTCGCCGTGATGGTTATGATTGGAATCACTTCAAAAAAGGAAAATGCATGATATTTTTGATTTTGTTATGAGGCTCTCAAATCATTTAATCTTGGTTTTAGATTTATTGGCCAATGTCATCGGCTTTCAAATATAAAGAATATACCAGTATTGGCCAAAATATTAATATCGGTGCACGTTCGGTTTGTTAAACTTCTTTAAAGGAGTTTTTTCTTGATTAAAGCTGCTTTGAAACTATACGTTTTGTGACAAGCACTGTACAAATCAAATCGTGCGTGTGTGTGTGTGTTGTTTTACTCGACAAACCCTCTCTTCTGCTCACCAAGGCTGCATTTATTTGATCAAAAATACCGTCAAAATTGCAATATTGTGAAATATTATTAAAATTCGAAAGAACCCTTTTCTTTGTGAATATATTAGGGCTGTCAAACGATTAGTCGCGATTAATCACATCCAAAATAAAAGTTTGTGTTTATATAATATAAGTGGGTGCACTGTGTATGATTATTTTATGTATATAAATACACACACATGCTTTTATATATTAAAGAAATATTTTCATGTATATACTGTATATAGATTTATAATTTGTTATATATAAATATAAATATTTTATATATAAATAATATATTTTTAAATATGCATGTGTGTGTGTGTGTATATATATATATATATATATATATATATATATATATATATATATATTAGGGCTGTGCAAAAGTTAATTGCGATTAATCGCATCCAAAATAAAAGTCTGTTTTACGTAATATATTTGAGTGTGCTGTATATAATTATTTTGTATATATAAATACCTATGCATGCATGTATATATTTAAGAATTATTTGCGCTTAAATTCTGTATATATATATATAAATACATAATCTATATTATACAAATATAAATATTTTATATAGGAATAACACATTTTCTTAAACATATACATGCATGTGTGTGTATTTATATATACAAAATAATTATATACAGCACACACAAATATACTATGTAAACAGAGACTTTTATTTTGGATGCGATTAATCGCAATTAACTTTCGCACAGCCCTAATATATATATATATATATATATATATATATATACACACACATACAAAATAATTATACACAGTGCACCCACATATATTGTGTAAACACAAACTTTTATTTTGGATCCAATTAATCACGATTAATTGTTTGACAGCCGTAAAATATATATATATATAATAAAATGTCACGTATTCCTGTGATCAAAGCTGAATTTTCAGCATCATTGCTCCAGTCTTCAGTTTTTCTGATTATTATTATTGTGCTGCTCGATATTTTTATATAATTTATCAATATAATTTGCGGGGATCCCTGGAGTAAAAAACAGTGTCTCTTTGTTAATTTTTGTCCTTAAGTTACTTGTGTTAATCTGATTTTCCTCACCACATGCCGCGATATCTCACTTCCCCATTCAGAGCGAGAGGGTGAAAGGTTAAATCCGGAGACACTCGGTTCACCTTGTGTTAAAGGCTCATGCATTGCACTTTTGTTGGTTCATTGCCCCAAAAATGTCATAATTGAGTTCTTCATTTGCTAGTTTAGTTGCTCTCTCTGACTCTTTGAATTAAACTGGCTGTTTTAGCTACTATACCTTTAAAACATGTAAATGACCTCTGTTATGATTGGCTAATGTTTGTTTTCCAGTGTTGAAGTTTCTGAATACTGAATGTTAACTGACCTCATTAACATATGAATGCCCATATTATGACGGCCATTTTTCTGTTTCTGAACACACTCAGTTTAATTTTAGGATTAGTCATGTACTATTATTGTATTCATTAAAACTTTGAATAGTTTTTTTATGTATATTTTCAGTTAAATTATTAATTTTAGTACTTCAGTTTAAACTTGTTTTTCATCTGAAATGAATATTTTATTTAAACTATAATAATAGTTTTAGTTAACGAACGGTAACAACCTTGAACTGGGGGGCGTTAAAGTTCTTTTTAAAGTCTGTGTCTATATACTGTAGTATTTCAACTTTCAAGTCCAGTTTTTTATTTGTAAAAAGCAAGAATAATCCTGTTTTTCATTAAACAAACCCGTTGAGGATGTGAGTTTTGATGGCTGTTGTTCCTGTGTTTCAGGTTGAGTTCTCCTCGCACCAGATGAGGGACGATGTTGGCCATGGATCAAGGCGTAGTGGAGGAGTGGCTGTCTGAGTATAAGGTACGTCTTTCTCTCCTCATCGGCGTCATTTCTCAGCGTTTCCCCTGCTTTAACCCGTGTGTGTGTTTCAGACTCTTCCAGAGACGGCCGTCTCCAGCTATGCCGCCTCTCTGAAGGACAAGGGCTCTCTGGTTCCAGCGCTTTACAGAGTTATACGGGAAAATTACAGTGATGTAAGGCCTATTTGTACTCGAACTCTCTCATTATTTAATGTGTATATTCTGGGCTTGTGTGCCACTTTTTACCATCCAATCAGTTCCCAATCTTTTTTTTTTTTTACTCAAATGCATTCAATTATGGAAGCAAAAATGCATTACGATCTCCTTTATGTGTTGATTTTAACAAGAGCTCAATGATTTGGGTGGGAAAATCGAATTGCGCTAATTAGATCTATAAAAAAAATAATTTTTAAAGGTTTGGTGTGCTTCTATTGTATATCAAAAATATTATTTGTAATAATAATAGTAGTAGTATATAAATTAAAGAAAATAACAAATATGTTTATATTGCAATAATACTATTGTACTCTAAAATAAAAAAATCGTACACGTATACAATAAAAACTAGCTTTATTTTGCACTATAGCTGTAAAATGACTATTTACGTCCTAATTTCTTCATTTTAAATACAGAAGGTTGAAGAAAAGTTCCTCAAAAGGACAATTTAGGCAACCAAAAAGTGCTCAAATGAATGTTTTGCTCTGTGACGTTTCCTGATCTTATATACAAACTCAAGAACATCATGTTTAAAGTAACCCAGAATGTTGTTTTGAAGTCTTTGGTGATGTAACCGTGAGTTATGAACAGTGCGGCGCTCGTTTCATTATCACAATCATGCTGACTGTTGTCACGGCAGCGTCAACATTATGATGATGAGTGACGGAGGTGTTTTGCAGTCGATTGGGTGTGTCTCCTTCAGGCACAACCGTCAGTTTATACCAGCGTCTTGTGTCAGTTCCTCTTTCTGGAAACAGTTCTGCTAATGACATAATCATAGACAATCAACCACATATTTTTAGACTTCACAAATGTCTTAAAGGAGTAGTTCACTTTTCAAAAAACTTTTGCTGATAATTTACTCACCCCCATGTCATCCAAGATGTCCACGTCTTTCTTTCTTCAGTCGAAAAGAAATTAAGGTTTTTGATGAAAACATTCCAGGATTTTTCTCCATATAATGGACTTCAATGGGGTCCAAACGGTTCAAGGTCCAAATGAGAGTTTCAGTGCAAACTGCAAACTGTTCAAAGGGCTTTAAACGATTCCAGACGATGAATAAGGGTCTTATCAAGCGAAACAATCTCTCATTTAATAAAAAATAACAAAGTTTGATGAACGAAATGAACGAGTTCGAAGAGGAGTCACGAAGTGCATCACAGAACAGAGCAACGCGAGCATTTGTGCTTATAAAACTTAAACTTTGTTATTTTTATTAAATGAGCGATCGTTTCGCTTGATAAGACCCTTATTCATCGTCTGGAATCGTTTAAAGCCCTTTGAACAGTTTGTAGTTTGCACTGAAACTGTCTTTTGGACCTTGAACCGTTTGGACCCCATTGAAGTCCATTATTATGGAGAAAAATCCTGGAATGTTTTCATCAAAAACCTTAATTTCTTTTCGACTGAAGAAAGAAAGACATGGATATCTTGGATGACATGGGGGAGAGTAAATTATCAGCAAAAGTTTTTTTTTTTAAAAGCAAACTACTCCTTTAATATGTCTCTGGAAGTAAAAAAAAAGACATTTTGTCTGGGTTTTTTTAAGCTTTTTGTTCAATGTACATCTTAGAGTTGCAATATTAATCGTTGAAAGTTTGTGATTTTGATTCAAACATCCACGCAATCTTATTCCTAAGAATAAGAAATGGAAAATGAATGGGAAATTGGCAAAAATGTGAATATACTGAGTTTTTTTTTGTGCGTACAATCTACAAATCAGCCACGATTTTGAAAAAAAGCACACAACAGTGAAGGGGTGAATCTATAAAACATCAGACAGATCCAGACACACACACACACACACACACAAACACACTTTTATACACAAACACGCCAAAAAATTCAGATTATACATGTGTTTTGCATTTTTAAAATGCTCAGTTTGTCCACCAGATGGCATCCATCTCATTTCAAAAATTGCTTTTATAAGGCCTAGGCTTGACTCTAAAATGAAATACAGCTTTAAAAAAAATATATTTTTTCTATTACGTTCAATGGGGGGAAATTTTGTCATAATTATTGCATTATTACTAATCATAATTTTTTTTTTATTTGTGAAATTTTCTCAAAACACCAAAAAAGAAAAGGAAAAATATTATAAAAAACGAGTAAATAAAAAAAAAATCATGATTTTTTTTTTTTTAATATGAATCCCGCCCTTTGGGTCCATTTGGACCCGAACATCCCGAGTGTGACTCTGAAACGAACAACCCCAGAGGGTTAAAAAGTGGTTATTTTTGCACTGATTTGTAATTGTAATGCATTTCTGTCTCTCAGCTGCTGGAGCCGGTGTGTCATCAGTTGTTCGAGTTTTACCGCAGCGGCGAGCCGCGTCTTCAGCGCTTTACTCTGCAGTTCTTGCCGGAGCTGGTGTGGAGTTACCTGTCCGTCACGGCCTGCCGAGACCCGCACTGCAGCGGCTGCATCGAGGCGCTTCTGCTCGGCATATACAACCTGGTCAGTGCCCTCCTCAACCAATGCACGTTTCACACAGAAACACTTAGTCCTCATGAAACGGAAGTTGAGATTGTCCTTTTTTCCTTATTGTGATGTCTATCCGAGTGAAACGGCTTGTTAAATTAGAAAAAAAATGTAGGGCGGGGCTTGATTTCGTCCCTCAGGAATTGATTGGATCGTTGGAGGTTGGGCGTTGCTAACAAAATGGGCATATAAAGGGCTTGTAAATGTCGGCCGGACAGCAACTTCCTCTGCTTCTCCTGTGAACTTTAGCCGTGGATTATCACTTAATCAGGAAGTGATGTTTCCAGCGGGCTGTGAGAAGGGAAGCCAGGCTGTCAGCGAGGTCGGTGGTCTTTCATGGGTTTTACGCCCCGTGAACTCGCCCTCCCTCCTCACTTTGCCCTGAATACCAGAGTAGGTCATCTGTCAATCACATGCCATCGGGGTGTCGGGGAGCGATTAGTCATCCTGACGCCGTCGGCTCTGAAATCGACCGGGACGGCAGCAGGCCGGTGGGCGCCTGTTTTAGAGACTAACACACACTGAAATCACACTTGATCTGGTTTGTCTTTTCACCTGAAGAACTCCGGAGACTTGTACAACAGTTCTGCAGTCTCATCATGATCTCGTCATGTGTGTTCACATCATCACTGTTGGAGAACTTCATACCAACTTAACTACATTTTTTTTTGTAGTGTGACAATAGCTCTGTTGTTTTCAGAGCAACTATTTCAGTTACGTGATGCTTTTTCCATCAAATGATGAATTGCTTTATCCTGGTCTTTTGTTGTACGCAAACACAGTTTTACAGAAATAGTACACTAAAATCTCGGTCCCGTTTTCAAACGACTACTAATATTGCAAAAGCATCAAAACATATATATATATATATATATATGTATGAAGAGTTCAGATGCAAAAGCCTCTAAGTGCCATATGAAATTTTCTTCTAAAATGATCATTTTTATCAAGCTTGTATATTTAAGTTCAGTGATTTCACTTAAATGGCAATGATAATTACCTATTAATTGTTATTTAAGTGAAATTACTGAACTTAAATATACAAGTTTGATAAAAATCATCATTAAAGAAGAAAATTTCAAATGGCATTTAGAGGCTTTTGCATCTGAACTCTTCATATATATATATATATATATATATATAATATATAATATATTTGAGTGTGCTGTATATAATTATTTTGTATATATAAATACCTATGCATGCATGTATATATTTTTAGAATTATTTGCGCTTAAATTTTGTATATATATATATAAATACATAATCTATATTATATAAATATAAATATTTTATATAGGAATAACACATTTTCTTAAACGTATACATGCATGTGTGTGTATTTATATATACAAAATAATTATATACAGCACACACAAATATACTATGTAAACACAGACTTTTATTTTGGATGCGATTAATCGCAATTAACTTTTGCACAGCCCTAATATATATGTATATATGTTTATTAGTGTATATATATATATAAGCTTTTTCCTTGTGCACTTTTTCTAAAAAATATATATACTAATAAACATATTTATATATATACTAATATATATATATATATATATATATATATATATATATGTGTGTGTGTGTGTGTGTATACATATAAACTATATAATAAAAATATAATAATAAAATATAAAAACACACACATATATATACTAATATATGCATATATATATATATATATATAAGCTTTTTCCTGGTGCACTTTTTTTAAATACGTTCTATATCTTTCTATCTATATATATATATATATGATTTTGGGGGGGGATATTTCTGTAATCTATATTTATATTTTTCTAGGAAATATTTGTGTAATATAAATAATTTTTATATACATTTTGTGATATAGATAAATATTTATAAAATATATTGTCTCTTTTGGCCATTGCAGATGTCTTTTTCGTTTCATTTTCCGACAAAGACAGGAAGCTTTTTATTCTCCAGTGCTAATGCAACAAAATGAAAATGCGGAAGGAAGTGCATTATGTGTAATTGATACTTTGTCTGTGGTTTATTATTCTGCCACAGAGACTGTTGTTTCATTAACTTGCTAAATGAGTGTTTTCTGGCAAGCTTTTATTTCTATTCTTCATCAACCGCACACAAAATACACCCAAAAACAAGTTCCCCATGGTAAACGAACTCCTGATTATTCACACATGACTCGAAGGCAGAGTCATTTAGGTTACGTCCATGAATATATATTCAATACGGAAACAATATCTTTTTAGTCATTGTCATTATAACGCTGCATGTTTGTTTGTATGTTCCCTCACACGTCCGACTCCTCATGATGATCCTGTTTATTCCAGGAAATCGTTGACAAAGACGGGCAGAGTAAAGTGCTGTCGTTCACCATCCCTTCCTTATCCAAGCCGTCAGTTTACCACGAGGTGAGTGACTCAAACGTCCCGATCCACAGTGATCCTCAGATGTGCTCGTTCTGACCGTCTCCCTGTCCCGCCTCCAGCCGTCCTCGTTTGGCTCTCTGGCCTTGACGGAAGGAGCCTTAGCCAATCACGGTTTGAGTCGAGTGGTTTACAGCGGCCCGCACCTGCAGCGAGAGACCTTTACGGCACAGAACAGGTGCGCGCATCAAATATTCATATTGCGCTCCATGCTTTTATTTTACTCATCCATTTTTAATCAGTGATGCGTGCTGACTGCGGGGGTTAAAGTGGATTTAATGATGAATTTCTGCTTTAATTTGATGATGATGGTGGTCATGTGTCTTGCAGGTTTGAAGTCCTGACGTTTCTGCTGCTGTGTTATAATGCGGCTCTGAGCTACATGACCAGCTCGTCCCTGCAGTCTCTGTGTCAGCTCAGCTCAAGGTTTGACTTATGACACACACACTGAGGAATTCATAAACTGTTTTAGTCCCTATAAACACCATGACAACATTCAATCAGGTTTATTTTATTATGGTCCCTGCGGGTTGGGATGGACTGAGACACGGGCAGGATTTGGGTTTAAATGCCACATTTTGAGTATTATCAAGATTATGATTCACTGCCTTCATTGCTGGTTTATATATATATATATGGATGGATGGATGGATATATATCTCTATCTCTAACGCTTGTCTCCTGCATGTTGAAGCGTTTCCCTGCCAAGTTTTAAACCAAACCTACACACTTGGACAATATATCGGCCAGGTTAATAATTTGTCTGATATTTGACATTCACGAATATCAACATCTCAATTTAGCTGATTAAAAATAAATGAATCCCTTTTTTTTATCAGTTTCCAATTTAGTTTAAATAATAGTAATATATCCAATGCCAAGCCTGTTGGTAGATAAATAAATATAGATTTTCTTTACTTTTAATAATTTAAAATGACTTTTTTTTTTTTGTTAAATAATTTCACTTATTTATTATCCGTTGCCGAGGCTGTTGGTAAATATATATTGGATATAAATAATGGATTTAAATGGATTTTTTTTATTTATTTAAAGATATTATATTATAATATTATTACATTATATGTTCAATATTTTATTTTTATTTATCTTGAATAAATACATCTGTAATTATTAATAATTTTATTTATTTAAATAAATTATGTATTATTCATGTTGGTAAATATATAAATACATATTGTAAAAAATATTTATTTGTTTAAATATATTATTATTATTATTATAGTATATATTCAATATTATTTTATTTTTAATAAATACTTTTGTATTTTTTCATTTGTAACTATGTATTTTTATTTAAGGATATTTTTATTTACATTATTCATATGAATAAATATTACGTAATATAAGTGTTCATTTAATTTCACCTAGTTTACATACTATTATTTATTACTGTTAGGTTGTTTTTAATAATATATCAGAATCATTGTTGGCATGCTGGCTGTTTAGATCTGCTTTGGTCAGGCCTTCAGGTCAGGTGTTTGTGTGGATAATGCGTCTCTTCATCTCAAATCCTCCCATGATCCTCTCTGTTTCCAATCACCCTGATCCTCTTATAGACCTGAACCTGCTTGGACTCAGACCTGCGATTGGTCTTTTCCCACAGTGATTTGAGCCGCGTCGTCCAGTGAGAGATGATCACGTGATTATTTAACCAATCAGCTAATGTTTACAGTTGCGTTAACAAAGATAATTTCCCTCGAGTACAGGTCAAAGGTCTCGTCACATTCCCTCATGGGCCTGATCATCACAGTGATGGATCTGATACTGATATCTAGAAAGCAGTGAGACCAACATAATGTAGATTTTAGTTCATTTCAGTCTGTTTGCTGATGTCTTTTCAGAGTTTCTATCTGTGGTTATCCAAGGCAACAGTTGCGGCGGTATAAAGGCATCAGCGCACGGCTGATGGTCACGTCTGAGTTCCTGGTTCAGCTCATCACGGGGATTCATTTTGCACTGTGAGTGATTCAAAACTAAAGACTCTGTCCTACCAAACCTGTTATCAGACAAGTGTTTCTGGGAGTGACTGGTGGGGGTGTGGCTGTGACTGGTGAATTTGTCTTAAAAACATAGGTGAAAATTGTGCAAAAGTTAATTTATTTCAGTAATTCAACTTAAAAGGTGAAACTAATATATTATACAGACTCAATACATGCAAAGTGAGATATTTCAAGGCTTTATTTATTATAATTTTAATGATTATGGCTTACAGCTTATGAAAACCTTTTCTTAATATTCTAATTTTGAATTTGGGGTTTTCATAAGCTGTAATCCATAATCATTAAAATTATAACAAATAAAGGCATGAAATATCTCACTTTGCATCTAATGAGACTATATAATATATTAGTTTCACCTTTTAAGTTGAATTACTGAAATAAATGAACTTTTGCAGGATATTCTAACATTTCGTTAGAATATAGTTGTTCCCTTTTGTATCAGTTACAACATTTAGATATAGTTATATAATAATTTTGTGTCAGTTCCCAAATTTTAGAAATATTTCTTTCTTTTTTTTCATGTTTAAAAAAAAAAACAACTGTAATTTTCCTTCATTTATTTTTCTGGGAAACGTATACAGATTATTTTGAAGGCTCTTGACAGATATGGTCACCCTTGTATGGACAAATATTCCATATAGGATTTCTGTATACTGTATTTGGCCATTATTATTTAGACATTTTGAGATTATTGACATCTGCTGATAATCATTTCCATTTGGCAGATTAAAAATAATTAATTCTCCTCTTTTGTTCCAATGATGAAATAACCGCATATGGCTTTGGATTGAGATGAGGGCGAGTAGACGATGACAGAGATGTTGTGTTTGATCGTGTGTGTGTGTGTGTGTGTGTGCAGGTGTAACGGCGAAGTGGACCTGGGCTCCAAGGCTCTGGATGATGTGCTGTACCGGTCTCAGCTGGAGCTCTTCCCAGAAGCCCTGCTGGTGGGTTTCAGATCCCTCACGCTCCAGCAGAGATTACAGGAGTCAGCTGACGCTCCGCAGATTACCAACATTTCTCAGAAGCAAACACTTCCAACACCACAAACACAGGCTATACAAGAGGAATTAGTGCTGTTTAGGGATTAAACATTTACACACTGATTTGATTTGATAATGAGCCTTTACTAAAATTAAATCAAATATGTATTAAATAAATACATAAATATATGTGTGTGTGTTTATAGGCAAAATTGGAATGGATGGATAATTCGCAACTGTCTAAAATCAAATCCGTCTGTATAATAAATTACATTCAATAAATAGAATTTCTTTTTTAATGTAATTTTATTATGATATAATTATTTACAGTTGCCACAAATATATATTCATATACATTTATTATATGTGATTCATAACAATGTTTTTAATTTTGCAACTATCTAACTATCCAGATGTTATGAATCATGTTTTATAATTCATTTTAAAAACATAAAAATTATATATTTGTAGGTTTATTAATTTTATTAAAAGTAATTGTATTATTTATAACAATTTACAGTTGCAATTTACTTAAATTAACTTGCAAAATTGCCTGTATATGTATATAAGTGCGTATATACATACATACATACATATATATATATATATACAGGAAATATACTATTTTCGCGATTAATCGCATCCAAAATAAAAGTCTGTGTTTACATAATATATGTGGGTGCACTGTGTATAATTATTTTATATATATAAATATACACACATGCTTGTATATATTTAAGAAATATTTTCTGTATATACTGTATATAGATTTATATATAATTTATAGTATATATAAATATCAATATTTTATATATAAATATTATTTTTTTCTTAAATATGCATGCATGTGTGTATTTTTATATATATATATATATACATACACACACACACACACACGCACACAAAATAATTATACACAGTGCACCCACATATATTATGTTAACACAAACTTTTATTTTGGATGCGATTAATCGTTCAACAGCCCTAATGTGAATATATATACACGCACACTTATATACATATATACACACATAGACAATATATATATATACACACACACACACACACACACATGCATTACATTATAATACATTGTTTTAAACACCGTTTAAATGGAACACACAATAATGCATTGAATTGTCATTTTTACGCCACTAATTTGCAAAATGTGCCATAGATGTGTCTGCATGGCTATATACAGAGATTGATCTTCTGTTCTCGATGTTTCTCAGGTGGGAAACGCCATCAAATCATCTCTTCACGGCGCTACTCTGAAGTCCAATAAGGAGGGCACTCGGTCCATCCAGGTGGAGATCACTCCCACCGCCTCCCGGATCTCCAGGAACGCCGTGACCAGCCTGTCGATCCGAGGACATCGCTGGAAACGCCACGGTGAGGATGAGTTGCCATGGTGACTCACACTTCCTGACGGATTCCACGCCGTGGTATTAAAACTCTCCGGAGGTGTTTCCCACATCCTGATGTTTCGACGAGTCGGGCCAGACGTGATCCCGGCTCACATCTCAGCGGATAGTCTTATATAGTAATAGCGTGGTATCTGGCACAGCTTTGACGAGGAGGTTTCAGATCTCTCTCATCCCGACACCACGCCATCTGACTAATTAGTGCTCAGGCGTTTCAGAGTTAATGACGGCTTTTCTGTTCGTCAGCCACAATTAAGCACCAAACACACTCATTAGTGCTGTTCGCCAAGGCAAGCGTCATCGCTCCTGGTGATCTGAAGCCCTAGCCCTAAATTTGACACTTTTAGTGTATAAATCGCCCCATTAAATCATTTGTGCCTCGAAGCAGATGGCTTATTTTAAGAATAATATAAAAAAAATATTTTTTTAATATAGAAAATAACTGAATTTTAACTATTAAACATATAAATTATATTATTAAAAAAATATATATATATTTTTTTAAATATTTTAGTATTTTCATAATATTTGATAATAACTATATATTTTAATGCTTATAAAATTATAAACATATTTGGTAATAATATTAATAATGGTTAATTTATATATATATTATGCTTATAACATAATGTATTATTAAAAATTATAAACGTAATTATAATAATAAAATAATTTCAGTTATTATAAAATAGTATAATTAATTCTTTAGTTAAATATAATTATTATAATTTATTACGATAATATAATTTCATTAAAATTAATGATAGTAGCTGTATATTTATATTATTCATACACTGTCAATTATACATTTATATTAATAGTATAATTCAAAATGTGAAGTGCATTTTGAGAGTCGCTTTCATTTCATTGTCATGTGTCCATTTTGAGTGTATTATTTTGAACTGTTTATGTTTGTCTTGAGATGTTTCAGATTTTATTTCCATGTACGTCTCATCACGTCACCCATCATGCATGTATCCGTGTGTGTGTCTCAGAGTCTCAGGAGGACAGTGTAGACTCCCCTGACTCCTGCCCGACGGGGCCCATCCCTGAGATTAGCGTAACGGGGGTCAGCGGGGAACGGCTGGCCAACGGAGAGGCTCTTCGCTGCAGGACGGAGGGGGAGGCGCTAGGGGGCGCTACTGAGGTGGGGGTCGACCCTAGAGGTCAAGAGGTCAGGAGGCAGAAGTCCGTGCGGGACGGGACGCCCTCCGCGGGGCGGGTTCAGCTGTAGAGCCCCACCCCCCCCTCGTCCCACACATCCCCCCCTCTCCCCTCTCGCCCAGAGGTACATGGTGTGGGGCGGAGCGTCTTCATAAGCGTGTTAATTATTTAAGATATGTAAACCTTGAAAGGTGTCAACCAGCAACTTTTTCTGAAAGGAATGTGTCGGGTTCAAAGGTAAAGCTCGATCCACAGCATAAGTGGCATAATGTTATTAACTCTGTCTATTAATCAAAAAAAAAACACCATATATATATATATATATATATATATATATATATATATATTTAAATATATCAATAATTAAATAATTAGACTAATTATTATTTGGCTTTTTTTAGGCAGTGTGTAGGATGTGTCTTTTGTGCATGCATATATGTTTTCAAACAATATGCATATAATATATTTATTATTTATTTTATATACACACATTTATTTTTATATATATATATATATATATATATAATGTATTTATATATTAAAATTTATTACAATATTTGTTATATATATATATAATTTTTAACATGTATCTATTAAATTATATATTATAATTAGATCAATTATTATAATTATGAATTATTATTTAAATACATTTCTAATTTATTATATTAAAACAAATTTTGTAATTAGATATAATTAAGTTTATTATTATTAATTTATTATGAAATTATATATTGTTATTAGATGCAATTATTATAAGTTAGTATATTTTATTATTAATGTATTTATTTAAACAAATATGTATTATATATTACATTATATATTGTAATGACATGCAATTATACATGTTTATTATTATTAATGTAATATTTATTTAAATAAACATTTATAAAATATTAAATTATATGATGTAATTCTATACAATTATATTCTATAAATATTTATTATTTATTTTTCACTTAGGGGGCCCATTAAAGTGTGTCTACATTATATCACAGGCGTTGTGGATCGTGCTTCTGTTGATCCTGGGGTATTCCTCTATGGTCTCCTGAAATCCTCTCCTTAACTTTATGAATGTCCCTGTTTTTTATGTTATGTCTTAACACTGTCGCGTCTAATTTCTGTCGCAGTTGCCAACTCGTTCCACATCTGTTTTTTTCCTCTTCGTTTCTGCGTTTTTCCATCCGATCAAACCTCCTGAACTCACAGCTAACCAATGCTGGGAATGCCTTCACTGCTTCAATCCCGCCTCACTTTCTGCTGTCAGAGAAGCCATTTATGAACACACTTATCCCAACACTTATCCACTGGGTTGCCAAGAGAAACGACCTGCCTTTAGATGCAGAGAAACCAGACAAGACTGACAGGAAATGATGCGTCTGATGTAACCATCAGTGAGGAGGTTTCATGGAAGTTAGAGCTGATAATTGTGTCCATTACCAATATGGTTGCCATATCCAGGTGAAACTCGAAAAATTAGAATATCGTGTATATATATATAGACTCATTACATGCAAAGTGAGATATTTCAAGCCTTTATTTGTTATAATTGTAATGATCATGGCTTACAGCTTATGAAAGCCTTTTCACAATATTCTAATTTTGAATTCAGGGTTTTCATAAGCTGTAAGCCATAATGATTTCATGTATTTATTTTAGGACAGTGCGCATTAATTAGCATTTCCGTAAATGTGCCATTGTTAGCCAGCAGAGTCATCTTCAACTATAGTCCATCGGCAAGATGTTATATTAGGCACATTAAATCACACAGCAATTAATAAACGACAATAAAACATAATGCCATAGCAACATAACATCATAAAACATATTTAAACAACCATACATCCGTACAACTATTTAAAAAAAACATCTATTCATATTTCTAGCACACAAGTTACAGGACGGCTAAAATATAGAGGCAGACATACAGTAAGTATTATGAGGTGTTCACATTTTTGTATGCTCAAAATCAAAATTATAACTAATAAAGGCTTGAAATATCTCACTTTGCATGTAATGAGTCTTTATAATACATTAGTTATAATTTCAATACTTTTAAAATTGCATATTGTGATATTGTACAGCACTTTGGCGCAACCCTGTTGTTTTTAAATGTGCTATAGAAATAAACTTTGACTTTAGTTTCACCAAGTTGATTTACTGAACTTTTACTGAACGTTTTCACCTGTATTGTGCCTCCCAACAGAAAACATCATCTTCCGGTCAGTCTGTTCCTTCTCTCCTAGTTTGAGCTTCTGGTTTGTGATGTTGCACACTTCCTTCCTTCTTTCTCCGTCCTGCCAACAGCTCCCTCTGCTGAAACCTGCTTTATTTAAGAAGAGTTCTCTAGTGTTGTTGTGCTTCTCATCGGCCTGTCCTGAGAATGCTCTTAAAGGGATAGTTCACTTTGAAATTAATTTTTGGTATGTTTTATCTTACCTCAAGGGCATCCAAGATGTAGGTGTCTTTGTTTCCACAGTAGTTTCAATTTTGATATTTTTAGGCCATTGTCTGTCAGTCATATAATGGAGGTCTATGGTCACCACCTCAAAGAGCATGCACAGAGAAGTCCAAATTAAACATGATTTAATGACTCATAAATGTAAGTACACATTGATGGCCTAAGACACGAAACGAGCGGTTTGTGTGAGAAAACAAAGAGTATTTATATCGTTTTTACCTCTTGTAATCACAAAGCGCCCGTGCCCTCAGATCACTTGGATGCGGCTGTGTTCGATTTCTCACACAAACCGCTCGTTTCGTGTCTTAGGCCATCAATGTGTACTTACATTTACGAGTCATTAAATCAAGTTTAATTTGGACTTCTCTGTGCATGCTCTTTGAGGTGGTGACCATAGACCTCCATTATATGACTGACAGACAAGAACGGTTTGACCTAAAAATATCAAAATTGAAAATACTGCGGAAACAAAGACACCTACATCTTGGATGCCCTTGAGGTAAGATAATTAATTTCAAAGTGAACTATCCCTTTAACAAATAGTTGTCGAAAGCAAAAATGCATATATTTTGTTATACAGAGCTAAAAAAAAACAACCATAATGACTGAGTAATAAACGATTGTTGTGTCCCGCCGCAGACGCAGTGGATCTGGGTTCCCCGGATGAGCTGACGGAGATCGCGGAGGTGGACGAGGGAATCTGCACACAGGCGTCCGGAGCTCAGGGTCAGGCCAGCCCCCCCACCATCGTCATCAGCAACAGCGGGGGCGGAGCCAAGCCGGCGGGAAAGGGTTTGCGTCGCCTGACGGGCAGATCCAGCAAAGACAAGGAGAAAGAGAAGGACATGGACCAGCTCACGCGCAAGCAGGCGGCCGTCCGCGCCATGAGCGAGAACCTGGAGCTCCTGTCACTCAAACGCCTGACGCTGACGGCCAGCCAATCGGTGCCCAAGAGCGGCTCGCTCAGCCTGTCGCGCACCGCCAGCGCCGTCTTCTCGCGCTCGTTCGAGCAGGTCAGCAACGTGTTCTCCGGCGGAAACCAGTCGTCGAGCCGCGCGTCCAGTCCCACGGCCAATCACGCTGCTGACGGGGACGAGGGCGTGGCCTATTCCGAGCACCTAAGCCCCGCCCACCAGCATCGGCAGCGCTCGCCCACCATAAGCATCCACGTGACCTCTGACCTGTGACCTTCTGACTGCAGTAATGCGACTCTAACACACACACAGGCACAAAACTGCACCTTACGGGAAAGTTTCGAGTTTTTTTCTTTTTGTCAGTTGTGTGTGATCACCAAAGTCGTGTATATTTTTGAAGTAAGTGTTTTTAAAGCGAACTTGAACTTTTCCCAGTTTGTTCTTTAAGGTATGAAGTCGATCCATGAAGTTTACACGCGGTGCTGTGTGTTTTTAACGCGGCGTCTGTCTGGGAGCGTTCACGAGAAGATCACGCATGTTGAACCGTGTGTGGTTTTCATTTTATGTGTCTCACACGTCTTCTGCAGTTCCCCCTGCTCTTAGTATCCCAGCATGCACTGGGCTTGAACCGAAGCCATCATTTCACACTGTTTCCATGGGAATTTGGATGGACACCAAAACAACTGTGGCCGTCTTCGTTTACATTGTTTTTCTTGCGGTTTTTGAAGAGCAATATTGTTTGAATTGCTGTGTGTGAGGATGCGCGAGGCCATAAGAGATGCATTATGGGAGTTCAGCAACTGATGTCATGCTTTTTCAATGCAAAGCACTACGGCAGAGACCCATAAAGCAGTGTGATTATAAGCCAGAAATCATTTCTTGATATAAAAATGAAAGAGACATTTTCTTTTTTTATTGGTGCGTCAGTGCATCAATATTTGTCTGGTTCTATTATAATTATATTTTGGAAGACATTTTTTTCTGGTCAAAATGGTTTGTGCTTTTAATTTGAAGTGGGTCATCAATAAGTGGTTGTGTCCGTATTCAGATTATTTTGAGAATGTGAATATTTTCTTGTGAACTGTAAATATTATTGTACTAAAGTCGGTTTTTTTTTTGCCTTTCATCAACAAAATAACATGGTTACAGTCTCTGAAAATAAATATTTCTATTTCAGCATGCCTCTAGATTTTTATATAGTTAATGATGTTTTTCGAATCAACTTTCAATGACGATGGATTTATTCCTTCTGAACAGTTTTCAGATTAAATGATTGAACAAAAGTGATGTGTGAATTTATTTTGTATTCAAATTAAATGTCTGTTTGTTAACAACGGGTTGTGTACATAATTAATTACACTTTTTTTAGGGTTGGAAAGTTCACGTTTTGATTATTTAATTTGATAATTGTTACAATTCATGCAGTTATTTAGGTCTTTGTATTTCTATGTATTTCATTATTCATAATAATATAATATAGGGACCTACGATATATCGGCCACCATATCGTTATCGGCCAATATACGCTCATTTTTAATGTTATCGCTATCGGTCCGATAAGAAAATTTAGCCGATATATTAAAGCCGATAATTAATGTGTTATTTCCTTCAGCTGATGCACTTAAGATGAACACTGTTCAACATGATGCTTAGCTTGAAATATGATTGGAATCACTTCGAAAAAGGAAAATACAGTAAAGTCCAACATGTGCAGTATATTATACATAATGAGAACATTATAATTGTGTGTTTAGGACATGGATTTTAATGGTGAGACTTTTGTTTTTGCAATTAGGTTAAAATTATATATATATATGGATTCATATTATTATATATATATTGGTTGGGTTATCGGCTTTCAAATATAAAGATTATCGGTGTCGGCCAAAATGTTCATATCGGTGCATCCCTAATATAAGATATGAGCTAAAACATTAAACTAAGCTCATAGTTGCTTTAGAATAAATTGTCGATTAAACTTAAAAGCTTGTATATACGTCATATAATTATATAGTGTAAAATGTGGTTATATGAAGTAAAAATCTGACTGGGATTCTGTTATTTTTTTTATCTTTCATGAGTCAGTAATTCAACTAAATCGTAAAAATGCATATTTACATACAATATTAAATTTAGATTTATTAATGATTTTTCGCAATAAATAAATAGGCCTAATGAAATCTCTAAACTTTACAGTTTGACCAGTTTGTAGAACTGCAACACAAATCAACTATATTGAAATGTGCCATCTTCACATAGCTCACAACAATAATGTAAGATGCATTTACATAACTTAGAACATGTCGATGTTAAGATAAATAAACAATCTAGCAGAACAGGGTTACATTTAGCATCTCACATCATGTAAAAACTTCTCAAACATAATGTATAACTGATCAAAATGCACATAATCGTGTACCTGCTGCCGTCTCGGTGTCCCTGGTGTGGCCACTAGGTGTCACTGTTCCGCCTTTTTGCGACTGTCGTAAATCGGTTACCACAAGAACGCCGCCGCCGCACACTTTACGGCATGTAACACGTGTTTCCTGCGGTGTTCCTTGCCCTTCACTGCTCCACATCGGATCCAAAGACGATAATTGATCAAATCTGAGCGAAATCATGAGCAAACTGAGCAAGGAGAGCAAGCAGCGGCTGCAGCAGGTGTTCCAGTGCGGCCAGTTCGTCATCCGCTGGGGCTTCATCCCCACTGTGCTTTATTTGGGTCAGTAAACGCAAATCATGTGTGTTTAACTTGCTGTATGTCAAGAGTCTATGCATCATTTGTGTCCATGTGAGGTGTATGATGAGTTTTTGATACACACACCCATATATATACATTATGAAGAATGAATGAATCGATGAATTCATCACAAGTCCTAATTGTTATGTTTTTTTAAGCGATTAGACTTTACATTACCGACCGGTTCATATCTAGAAACCTGATTAACGATTTGACGGTGACTTGGACTAGCAAACAACACTGATCTCCCTAGCAGTCTGCTAGAAATACATAGCAACGACTCCAGCACTTTAGTATTCACCTAGCAACGCCCTAGAAACTATTATACCACTATTATATCTTATATATGAGAAATTGGTGACTTTTTGAAGTTTCCTTTTGGGGTGATTCGTATCATGTATTGGGTTGATACCATCATACTATTTATTTACTAGAAATGTCATTAAGGAAAGTTCGTCAGGATCAAGGGCTTCTGGGATGTGTGTGTGTTTATAATAGAGGGTGACCGCATCATTTCTGATTATAATGTTGAGCTTGATGTAGTTTTTTTCATGTGTGGGGTCATTAAGTGTCTGAACACGCATCACTTCCTGCAGCTGTGATTGACAGTCAGAGATGCTCCGTCAGGGTTATGTTCTTCAGCAGCGTCTTCGTCCTACAGCTTCATCACAGTTAAATGGGAATTGAGGAAATGTTAATGAGGCTTTAGGGACTCTGTGATTGATTCGTACACTCCTTGTTCCACACAAATTTGCGTCTGTATTTTTGGCATGATGGGAGACGTTTAGAGACAAATGAGATGCAGAAGGAAGTTGTAGCTTTTTGCGTGTCGGCTAAATTGCCTCACAGGGAAAAGCCCCTCGAGTCTAAACATCAGCATTTCTGGAGGACATCATAAGCCTGCTAGATTATTATATATAATATTACATATAATGGAATGAATATATTTAGAATAAACAGCTGTTGTAAAAAATATAACACTATATTTATAATATGTGGTTACACACGCACACTCACCCATATACAGGGGTTGGACAATGAAACTAAACACCTGGTTATAGTCCTCAGTAATTTATTAGTACGGTGTAGGGTTTCCTACTGTAGCCAATACAGCATCAGTCCTTCACGGCGTCTTTTGAGCCGTTCCTCTTGCAGAACAGTGTCCGGGTCACCATGAGGAACCTTTAAAATTTGAAAATTTATACAGTTTTTTCCATTATGTATTATATATTTATATATTTTTTCCATTATTTATATATATATATGAAGAGTTCAGATGCAAAAGCCTCTAAGTGCCATTTGAAATTTTCTTCTAGAATGATGATTTTTATCAAGCTTGTATATTTAACTTCAGTAATTTCACTTAAATGGCAATGATAATAATTACCTATTAATTGTTATTTAAGTGAAATTACTGAACTTAAATATACAAGTTTGATAAAAATCATCATTAAAGAAGAAAATTTCAAATGGCATTAGAGGCTTTTGCATTCTGAACTCTTCATATATATATATATATATATATATATATATATATATTAGGGCTGTCAAATGATTAATCACGATTAATCACATCCAAAATAAAAGTTTTGTTTACATGATATATGTGGGTAAACTGTGTATAATTATTTTCTATGTATATAAATACACACATATGCATGTATATTTAAGAAAAAAATATTTATATATAAAATATCTATATTTATATATAATATAATTTATATATAAATCTATATATACAGTATATACATGGAAATATTTGCTTAATATATACAAGCATTTGTGTGTATTTATATATATAAAATAATTATATACAGTTTACCCACATATATCATGTAAACAAAAACTTTTATTTTGGATGTGATTAATCACGATTAATCATTTGACAGCCCTAATATATATATATATATTTTTTTTCCGTTATATTTTTCCATTAAACATATTTATATATGGTGGCCATAAAAAGATGGACATGGTCAGAAACAATGCTCAGGTAGGCCGTGGCATTTAAACGATGCCCAATTGGCACTAAGGGGCCTAAAGTGTGCCAAGGAAACATCCCCCACACCATTACACCACCACCACCAGCCTGCACAGTGGGAACAAAAATCTAAATTATTTAGCTAAATAAACCACTTCACGATAACATGAGGTTCTTAAAGTCCTCACAGTTGTCCAGTCAGAACTATCCAAGATAACTGTAATAATGAAGTCTAAGATTGTGTGGAAAGGTCGTGTCATTCTTTTGCCGCAGAGCTATTTTAAAGCGTGTTGCACAACGATACATGAAACGGAGATGAATCAGCTCTGACGTCTGAATTCTTCGAGATCTCACATGGATGATGCCTTTGTTGTGCTATGACCAATATTGAATAAAAAAGGAAGAAAGTACCCGTGTGAACGCTGCAACGCAGGGCTTTTCTCTCGCCACTCCGGATCTCAGACGGATGTGAGGCAGTTTCATGATGCCAGTCGAGTCGACTCACTGAAGAGCTTCTCTGTCGGTGCCTGAGAACTGAGGAACCCAGACTTGCGAGAGTGCTGATGTCATCCTCAAACATAATGTAATGCCTTGAAAATATGACAAATACTGTATATATATATATATATACTGTATATCCGCCTGCGTTTGGTCATTTGATTTTTTGTCATATACACCCTCACCTTGCTAATGTATAATGTAATTTATTTTGAGTTTAATTTATACACTTTTTAATTATAGCTATTGTGTGTATCATTTGTCATTATTAACGTGTTTAATATATCAGCATTATATCAGTGATCTCACAAAAGCTGTCAATAAATATGAGTGTTATTTCAAAATAAATGACATTCAAGAAATCTTCTTCTTTCTCATTTCTTTTTTTTTCTCAAATTCTCATTATCTTGCAAATATTAACATCTTATTGCCGTTACTGAAATGCAACAAAAAACATTAAATTGTAAATTATTCATACATGATTGTATTATTTTCTGCTATATTAGTTTTCATTTTATGCTGATTTAAATGAGAAAAAACATAGTAGTGAGAATGAGAATTATTGATGACAAAGGGAATTACAAAAAAACAGTTTTGTGTTTTTATATATATATATATATATATATATATATATATATATATATTCTTCAGTTGAAATCGGTATGATTTTTTTTTTAAAGTCTCTTCTGCTCAACAAGGCTGCATTTTGTTTTCATGAAAATTACAGTAAAATGGTAATGTTGTGAAATATAACAATTTCTTCTAAAAGTTTTCTATTTGAATATATTTTAAATTGTAATTTATTCCTGTGATCAAAGCTGAGTTTTCTTTTAATCAATTAAACTCTATTTTCTTATTTAATATATATTTATATAAATTTATATATATTTATGTAAGTTTATTTAGCTAAATAATTTAGATTTTAGTTACCACTGTGCAGGCTGGTGGTGTAATGGTGTGGTGTATATATGTGTGTATATATATGTGTATATATATATATATAGATATATAAAAACCTTTTTTATTATTATTTTTATTATTATTATTTTTTATTTGTGAAATGTGACAATTTCTACTAAAAGTTTTCTTTTAATTTCTTTCAATTTCTACTAAAAGTTTTCAATTTCTACTAAAACAATTTCTACTAAAAGTTTTCTAT